TTTTGAGGAACACCAGGCAATTTCTTTTTGGCGAGTTTAATATTTCGTAAAAGCGACCTAAATAATTGAGCAACATTAAATTCGCCCACTTCTGCTAGCTCATATATAACATCACCAAGCCAGTTGAAGACAGGAACTACAAAGTCATTTTCGCGACCCTTCTGCATATCAGTGATAGGCTCAATCATTACAGATATTAATTTGATTATCACATTGCCGTTTTGATGCCACTTTTCGTATTCATTCTCTATATTCCGTACGTCGTCTTCATAGAGCGCAGTATTTTTTACAGATGCCATTAGGCCAACTAATATTATGAGTTGAGTAGCTCTAGGTATGCATCCCATTGCAATAGATTAAGCCCAAGTACTGTTTGAACAGTAGATTGATCTGTATTTGCTGACAAACTAATTAGGGTGAACAAAACGAACTTCTTTCCTAATTCATACAATACATACATATATTTACATAGAAAATAAAGAATTTTCAACCGGTTTTATTAAGTGATTCTTTATACCTAGTATATTGAACATATTTAAAAAATTATTCTGCTAATTAAATTATCCTCACCCCAATAACAACGTCTTATAGCCCCAGTTGATTTGGTCCACTCTAGTCACTGGTCGTACTTTAATATACATACATATCGACATATATATTTGATTTTAATAATTGATTTTCTGATGAAGTACATGTATATGTATATATCATGTGCTTCATCAGAAAATTGATTTTTAAAACAAATATATATGTACATATGATTGTGTGTGCATGCAAACTGAAACATGGATTTAAGGCTAATCTATTACTATATTGATAATTAAAAAAGTAAGCAAAGAAAAATTGCTTTGTTAAAAGTTAAAACTTTCTACAACATACGCCAGAAAACGTTCTAGGTACGAACACATATACATAAACGTGTACGTATGTGTGCCTTATCAGACAAAAGCAAAAGTTGAAGCAAACGAAATCAGCATTATATATTTTTGAATATGTATGTATACAGTATAGTACAGATAAACGCTACAGCTGATTTCACGATCTTCGAGAAACTGCTGTAAACAAATTTTAAATTATAGCAATGTGTACCGCTTAACTTTCCGTTAAAAAAAATAATAATTTAACGAAATGAAATTATTACTCTAAAACAATATGTAAACTTTTCACTTTAATTTGAATGTGTGCCTTGGACCTTTTACCGAGTTTAATGGGTAATGCTCAGCGAGGGCGTACTGTGTTTATAGCAAGAATATGTGTTTAAATAAGTACGAGTGTATGTACATATCCACATCAATGAACAACACTCGTATAATTTTTTATAATGTGCATTAACATTACAAATAGTTTTGTATACATAAATATTTTTCTCGTATGTTAGAAACACAATGAAACTTTTAAGTGGCAACTTTAGCGAAAGAAAAAATGTTTATTTTATGGTTAAGAAAAGAAATTTTGTTTCTACATATATCCTAGCTAAATTTTTTGCTTATATATTAACATTTAATAAAATATTTTTGAATAAAAAATTTGTACTAGTACCGTTGTTATATATTTATTACTATTTAATTTTATTTTCCCTGGTCACTCTACAATAAACTAGACGTAACATAGCCTTTTTAAATTGTATTTTCACCGGCAAATGTATTATTCGAACTATCTGCTTTATTACAGCACCTGTAGTGCTCTATGTACCCAAGATACTAGGCGATTACACTAATCTTAGAGTCAACTCTAAGATGGGTGCGATGTGGATGCCATACAACACACGCTGAATGACCGGTGTTTTGTTAATAAATAATTCAATTGAAAAAATAAGTTTTCGAAGATCCTTCATCTGCGTACTTTATTTATTATTTTAAATTACCGTTTATTCAATGTGCGAAAACACATGCACTGTTGAAGTCAATAAGAGACGGTTCAAGCAATTATTTTTCAAGGTAAAATGCTTATTTTTTAAATTTTGTTTTCTTGTAAAGGGTATTAATATTTTGTCATGAACTGGCATAAAATATATATATATATTCTTGATCGGCATCAAGACCAAAGTCGAAATGCAATATCTGTCTCTGTTTTTATGCGAACTAGTCCCTCATTGTCTTGAAAAATTGCATAGGTGTGTCTTTTTGTTGCATGGCACCAAATACTTTGAAAACGACCAGACCCGCGTACTATATCACATAGCTTTCTATAAGTTGAGGTTTTAACTTCTTGTGAAATAAACTTTTATGTTTATGAACATATCTTGATCAAACCCAGCATGTATACGTTTCAATATACTCCCTACAAACTACTTTCTATATGGGACTACTATATCATATGTTGGGAGAATAGAAAAACTTGTAATTGCTAAGTTAGAAACATTTTCCTTAAAGAACTCATGGATCGAGAGGTTCCTCCCAGAGCTCTATCTCAATATAAAATATATATATAAAACTATTTGTATATATATAAAACTATTTGTATATATATAAAACTATTTGTATATATATAAAACTATTTGTATATATATAAAACTATTTGTCTTGACTGACTTACTAATTAACGCACAGCCCAAGCCGTGAGAGCTTCCACACGCAAGTGGAAAAATGCGAAAAACTTTTGTATTACACTTTTTTGTTTACCATCATTTCTGGCTCAAACTCAATTCTAGAGATATTTGTTTAAATTGATTTGAGGGGCAAATCCTTCCAAATAGGGATCATAGATTTGGTAGGTTTCCATTTGAAATTCAATTCTAGGAAACTTTATGAAAATTCATTCACGTGATGCAAAATCCAAGCTTCCTCGGTGGGAAATGCCTATTAATGATGTTTTGACGGAAGGTTTAAGTTCGGTCCGATTTGCTTCAACTTATTTTCAAAGCCCTACTTAAGAACTTAATGAATACGTGTTCTTGATTTTGAAAAAAAAAAACGGAAAACGGTTACTATCCGAACGGCTTCAAAATCATTTTTAAAGATCTTTGTGTAAATTAATTCAGTTTTCGCAAGATCTGGGCGTTTTGGATGGTAATTACGGGTCAAGGTTTGAATGAGCGAAGTTTCGAATGTAAGGTCGTTTGCAAAGTTCTTCAAGAAAATTAATTTCCGAAACCAGAAATTTTCAACTTTTTTGCCCCGAACCCATAAAAAATGGGTAAAAAGGGTATAATGTATTTGTGCAATGTAAATGTGCAACAGGCAGAAAGGAGCATCTTCGACCCCATAAAGTATATATATTCTGGATCAGCATCAATAGCCGAGTCGATCGACAATATACGCCACAATTTAAATGCAATTGACTTGAGAATACACAAATATTCTATAGCACAATAAGTTGTAGATACTGTACAAAATTTCATCAAGATCGGTTAAGAAACAAAGAAATTATTAAAGATATTATTTGGCTTTCCTCGTATCAGCGTCAACAAACGCAAATTCCAACAAGAGGTTCTAGTCAGGAGCTCCCGACTAGGGGATACCCTGAACCCTCTTCTTCCGACATCATATGCAGTTCGCGCTACGCGCTCGTTTGCTTAAGTAGTAATAAAAATAAATGCAAAAAAAAAAATAGTTTCCTCAGTAGGCTTCGAACTTGCATTACCTGCCGCCGACCCTACTCAACCACCACGCCAATAATTAAGTCTTCATGAGAATAAAACGAGAATAAAACAATACAATCGCAATTGCAATGCTGTTGATAGAATTCAAAGCAGACACCCATGAATATGTGTGTGTACATGTATACAAAAATACTTGGAATTTGCGCTTGCTGCCGCTGATTCGAGGATAGGTAAAACGTCTTCTTTAATAACCGATCTTGATGAAAGTTTCTACAGTTCTAATTGGACTAGTAGCGTATTGGGTAGTAGCGGGGTGGTGATGATAGCTAAACAAGGAAAGATACTTGATATATATACATATATACTATTCTAGAAGCTACGTGTCAAGTCTGGTGACTCTAGCTCTAATTATACACCAAAACTGTGCGACTGTTGAGTTGAGGCGGCGGCAAGTAGTGCGGTCAGTTACGAGTACGAACCCTGCCAAGGGAACTTTTTTTTTATTTTTATTTTATCTTTATTACAACAAACGAGCGCATATCTGTATTTGGTGTTGTAATAAGAGGGTTTAGGGTAACCCCTAGTCGGGAGAACCTCTTACTTGTTTATATGTAGGAGGACAAAGAAACTAGTACCTGCCAATTTCGGTCAATATCTTTAAAAATTCTTAAACAGTACACTATAACTACATATTTTTAAAGTGGTACATTCGTATTAGATGAACGTTGTGGACTACTTTTAAGCTTTCTTATGTTACTTTATTTATTTTCTGCGATGATATAATAAGGTATTACTGAAAAATGAATTTATGCGAATGCGTAAAAAAGGGTTTTTTTTATTTTTTTAGTAAGAATATGTTCTTTCGTACGTACATACAAACACTTATATGCTATTAGCTGCGGAATGACGTACCAATCAAAACAAACGTCCGTACAATCGGAAAGAAATATTTAATCGTCAAAAACTAAATTCGACGGCAACTACATAACTCATATATGTATGTACATACAAATAGTTACTGATTCCGTACTTGTATTTGTTGCATTCACACATATGTATGTATGTATGTATGTTTATATGGTCAGCAAGGATTTAACAGCTTCTCACAAAGTACATCATTCGCAAGCAATTGTATGAATTTATTTGGTCCCTTAAAATTCATAAATCCACTATTGAAAAATTAACGGTGCCTTGTTATATTTTCAGATATATATGTACGTACATAAATTGGTTTCACATGCACATACAGAATTACAATGCTTATTCATTCATACTACACGTAATGTATGTCCAATAAGGATTTTCATATATTTATACATTCGCACAATAATAAAAGATTTGTGTATACACACAATATATGAATATAATGATAATGCAAATTTAACTAATTTCTTCAGTATATACCTAACACACACATACTATGCACAGATAAAGCTAATTTTTGTTTCAAGCCTCTTACTATATAAAATTGATTTGTTCAATTATTTATTTGTAGAAAAATACACCACAAAACACTGTGCGCGGTAGAATCTTAACAAAGACTGAAAGGAATCGTGTTGTTTAGTTAAGCTTTACGTAAAAGTTAATATAAAGCTAGCTTTGGTAGCTTTAAAAGCTTTAATTCCTCAAAAGCCAACTGCGAGCAGCTGCGACGCACTTGCTGAACTAAGATTCATCACCTTTTACACATATACATGTGTACATATTTATATACATAGTTATATGCAAAAATATATATAAGTATGTATGCATATAATGAAATTAGTATATATGTATTTACAAACGAAAGTTTATATGTGCTCGTGTGTGAATAAATATATATTGATAAGATATAAATATATGTATTATATTTATTTAATGGTGCGCGCACAATTTAAACTCCATGTAAGCATTCATTCATATATGCATACATACAAGTGTAGCCGTGCATATGTGCATGCATGTACGAAATAGAATCGAGTGCAATATTTATCGACAAGTTATTTTTATAACTTTTTAATGCATATATGTACATATGTCAAAAAAAAGCGTATGTGGCTGTCGATGAATATTGCTTATTCGATAATAAAATACAGAACAATTAATACGTTTTTAGTTAAAACTACAATTATATTATTTAAGAACAATATGTGACACATTTTTTCATTCTAATGATGAACATTTTTCTTATTTTCCTTTGCATGATTGTTGCGGGTCGAATTAAGCAAACGATTGTTTAGTATTGAAAGTATGTATTTTTGAATGTCGGGCACATTGTTTTTGGATTGTTGCCATTACCACTAACCAAAGAACATATGTATGTATGTCAAGAAATTATTTTTACGAAGCGAAAAATTCATATTTTCCAGATTAAGGTGCACTTTAAACAACATTTTTTTAATGTTTTTATGTATTTTATATTTTATATTGATCTATTATTTTTCTAAGAACTAGTTTAAAAAAATAATTATTGAGATCGATTACACCAAACAATTTTTAAAAATCAAAATCAAAAAGTATCCATTTTTCATGGTGTCAAGAAATGGTTTTGACAACCACTTTCATCGATTTCGCAATTCGTTTTTGATGCGATCCCGTTAGAATACAGTTTTCATATTTTGCCTCTTACTTTGCCTATGAATTCAGTTAGCATTTTCTGAACAATTTTTGAGCGCGTGTTGAACTTTGTGGACAAACAAAAATGCCAGGGAAGCGAACATCTTTTGATATTGCCCAATTGGTTTACTATAACCACCAGATCGGCAAAACAGTGATAGAGTTATCCGAGATGTTTTCGTCGTCCAGACAAACAATATATAACATCTTGGACCGCGCAAAAAATGAAAATAGACTAGACACAAAGGTCTCAAGTGGGCGAAAACTATCTGATGGAGATGAGCGGAAAATATTGAGAAAAGTGGAAAAAAATCCCAAAATTTCTATCAGGAACATTTCACGGGATCTTGAGCAAGAAAGTGGTATCAATGTTTCCCATGAAACAATAAGAAAGATCCTGAATTCCGATGGCTATACATCACAAATGCACTTGGAGAAGCCAGCAGGGTATTGGGATGACGTCATATACTGTGACGAAACTAAAATTATGCTTTTTTATAATGATGGACCATCCAGAGTCTGGCGGAAGCCCTTAAAGGCATTGGAAGCCCGGAACATAATACCGACGGTAAAGTTTGGAAAACTTTCCGTGATGGTATGGGGCTGTATGCCAAGCAAGGGCGTTGATGACTTGGCTTTTATTGAAAGCACTATGGATGCTGCCAAATATTTGGAAATATTAAAGACTTATTTAATAAATTTGGGTTTTTTGATGGCAACAGACCAAATTTCAAATTTTACCAAGATAATGACCCCAAGCATAAGGCTCATATGGTAAAGATGTGGTTGCTATACAACTGTAAAAAAGTATTGGACACTTCTCCACAGAGCCCTGACATAAATCCTATTGAAAATGTTTGGTCCTTTTTAAAGAAAAAAGTGGCAAAAAGGAGTCCGAAATCTCGCGACGAATTGAAAGCTGCTATTCTTGAAGAATGGATAAAGATTCCTGAAACTTATAATATGGATAACCTGGTTAAGTCTCTGAACCGGAGATATCAGGCTGTATGTGCTGCCAAGGGCCGTCATACAAAGTATTAGCGTCTTGTTTTTACTTATTTCCATGAACATTATAGGTCTAAAAACGTTTTGTCAAAACAATTTCTTAACACCATTAAAAATGGATACTTTTTAATTTTGATTTTTAAAAATTGTTTGGAGTAATGGATCTCAATATTTTTTTTTTAAATAGTTCTAAGAAAAATAATATATCGATATAAAATATGTAAAAAATAAAAGCATTAAAAGTATGTGGTTTAAATTGCATATTATTTTCGGATTTCAGAATTTCGAGCTTTACACACACACACACAGACACAAATGTGTGTGAATGGGCAGATAATGGACGCAAAATAAAAAATCATTATTGGCAGGCGTTTAACGCGCGCCCTTCTTTTTATGATTTAGGGCTTGAATTGAATAACTTAAATATGATAAGTCAACAAAATCATTAATACAATAAATATATAATTGAAGATTTTAATAAATGCATAAATGCTTCTATTCATATACAAAATAAGCACTTATGCGTGAATAGCAAGTCCAAAAACTTTTAAATGCACACATGCCAACGCTTAGGTACCCTTTCCAACAATAACGAGCTAAAATGTAAGAATTTCGCATCGACGTGGCAAACGCTTTCATTATTTCATATTATTCGTCAATTCAAAAGGGAAGATATTTGAGAAAAATTGAATTTGTGGGCATTTTTGCTTGTGCGGACATATACACATACAAACACTTAAACGGTACCTAGACATAAAGAGAGCGTTGAGAGCACTGAGAGTAAGTGTGAGCGAGATAAAAGTAAACAGCGATGCCGTTTTATCGCACATATCATATGAAAGAGATTAAGCCAAATCAGTTTCCTGTAGTGTAAGCGAATAAAAGGCATCATATGTATATTTTACTCTTCTTTTGGACCAGATGCACCGATTTTTTTTTGCCCGCTTTGCCTATACGTTATGTCCCATCTATATTTTCTTTGGTTAGTGCCATTACTTAAACCACTAACCATACAATGCATAGATATGCTGAAGAGCCGATTAATCGAAACACGATAAATCGCAAGGAGGGAACCCCAAGGGTGCCTGCGACCATTTTGTTATGCCCTGGGAGAAGAAGAAAACTGAGAGTGGCAGCCGGATACCGGCCTCGAAAGCCGAACGATCAGTGCACAAAGTCGATGTGGCTGATGCTTTTTATACCCTGAATAAAAATGGATAAAAAGGGTAAAATGTATTTGTGCAAATGTATGTAACAGGCAGAAGGAAGCATCTCCGACCCCATAAAATATATATATTCATGATCAGCATCAATAGCCGAGTCGATCTAGCCATGTCCGTCCGTATGTCCAAATGTGTGAACGCAAGGATCTCAGAAAATATAAGAACTAGAGACTTGAAATTTTTGCTGTAGGTCCTCCTAGTGCCTGCGCAGATCAAGTTTCTTTCCTATATTCGATAACTTGCCCCGTTTCCAAGTAATCGATTAAAAATTGATATCGATATTATGTTTTGTTTTTTTATACACTGAACCCTTTGAAAATGGGTAAAAATGGTATTATGTATATGTGCAAATGTGTGTAACAGCAGAAAGAAGCATCTCCGACCCCATAAAGTATATATATTCTTGATCAGCAACAACAGCCGAGTCGATTTAGCCATGTCCGTCTGTCAGTCCGTCCGTCCGTCTGTCAGTCCGTCCGTCTGTCCGTATGAATGAACGCAAGGATCTTAGAACCTATAAGAGCTAGAGACTTGAAATTTTAGCTGTAGGTCCTCCTAGTCCCCGAGCAGATTAAGTTTGTTTCCGATAATTGATAAAAATCAATATCGAAATCCTGTTTTTTGAGCAAATTCGGCAAATAGTATGAGCTAGAGTCACCAAACTTGAAATGTAGCTTCTAGAATAGTATATATATATCAAGTATCATTCATTTTATACCTATCGTCTGTTAGAAGAAGAGGGTTCAGGGTATTCCCTAGTCGGGAGCACCCGACAAGAACCTCTTACTTGTTTTTTTTTTTTTTTTTAACAATTTAGGTAAATAATAGGAACTAGAGTTACCAAACTTGACATGTAGCTTCTAGAATAGTATATATATATCAAGTATATTTCTCTTAATAGCTTTAACCACCTAACCACTACTACCTCACTGCTATAAATCAAGTAAAAACACCTATTCATGGTGCCCACCAATATAAGCCACAATTTAAAAGCAATTGACTTTTTGATAATACACGAATATTCTCTAGTACAATAAGATGTACTGTAGAAAATCTCAACATATTAAAGAAAACATGTTTTCGCTTGCCTCGAGTTTGCAGCAAGCGCAAATTGCAAGGGTTTCTGTATACATGTACACACACATATCATGCGCGTCTTCTTTGCTATTCTTCTATCCTGCTATTTTAATTCGTTCTTTTTTTTTTTAAACACTCGATTATTGGTGTGGCTGTTGAGTAGAGGCGTCGGCAAGTAGTGCGGTCTGTTGAGAGGTCGAACCCTACTGAGAAAACTATTTTTTTTTTGTTTTAAATTTATTTTTATTACTACAAAAGCAAACGAGCGCGTAGCGCGAGTTGCATTTGGTGTCGGAAGAGGAAGGTTCAGGGTATCGCCTAGTCGGGAACTCCCGACTAGAAATATTTATATTTTATATTTTAATTGTTTTGTTTACTGTGGGGACCTATTTTGCTTAAAATGAAAACAGAAAGTCGTGTTTCTGCAAGGGTATTTCATAGTCGGCTTGTCGAAATATATTAAACAAAGACCAAAAGTTGAACATTGTTATACCCTGAATCGATTAAAAATGGGTAAAAAGGGTATAATGTATTTGTGCAAATGTATGTAACAGGCAGAGGGAAGCATCTCCGACCTTATAAAGTATATATATTCTTAATCAGCATCAACAGCCGAGTCGATCAAGCCATGTCCGTCTGTCTGTCCGTCCGTCCGTCTGTCCGTATGTATGAACGCAAGGATCTCAGAACCTATAAGAGCTAGAGACTTGAAAT